CGCGGAATGATGGGAACTGTTGTTTTCAACTCCACCGTGGATAAATCAGTCAGACGGGAATCGAAAATTAGTTGTCATGGATGAGGTAAAGTTCGATTTCTATAAACGTTGCGTTTAATGACATGCTTGTTTTTCATTAAACTGAAATAACCGAAATAACTGTACGAGTCACTAGACGAAGCTATGGTGGAGAGGGTTTGAAGGGGCAGGTCTCTTGCAAGGAGTTGACGTGGCTGGTCCTCCTTGGTAACTTTATAAAAATAAAAAATCAATTTAATGTACATTTGACACATCTTTTCATGTCGTGTAAGTAACCACAGCTACAGTTTCACAAAATTAACGTTAAGGGGGGTCGCACACCGGACGAGAAGCTGCAGCGCCGTGTCGCGCCACATCTTTAAAATTCGAAAACATTATTATACATACCGGCGGCGCCATTCGGCGTCTGTCCGCAGCGCCCAGCAACGTCTCAGGACCGTGTTCAAAATCCTGCTGCGCCACAGAGCGCCATTTACACAGTTTTATATAAAATTTTTATTATTTTTGTCTCAAACCGTTGCTAATGGATCCTGACTTCGCCCTATGCTGCAATTTGCATTTAGTTTTGCAGTGATTTACAGAAATCAGCTGCTTGAATGACAATTGCTGATGTTATTATTAGATTTTTCAGGTGAGATTCTCAATTCATTCTGTGAACGGATGATCTGAAGTAAAGTTTTCAGAATGCAGACTCAGCAACGATTGTATTTAATTGTACAGTACAATCATAACATAGAACAGACATTATCTTCATTTCATGTCATTGAACATAACAATATTGCTGGCCATACACTGATGAGAAAGTGCGCGTCCGGTGTGCGATGCTGTGGAGTTGTCCTAAACGTGGCGCGGCGGTTCTCGTCCGGTGTGCGACCCCCTTTACAGCCAACAGTTCACATTCCCAGAATAAATGAAAAGAATAATTGTGCTCCATTCTATAACAAATGCGCGAAACAAGCTGACGTTTGTTGCTTCATAGACGCTAACGGACAACTACAACTACCGCATTTGTCCAGGACTACACGTAGTACGAGCGGAAACCGAGGTAAGCGGATATGACGCGATTGACTGGCGACTCCCAGCTCACCCCTGCTCATACGCCCCGTTTCCTTGGTTAAAATCTCAATTTTCTCGCAATTTAAACATTGTTTGAAACATTTGGAATATTGTGAGTTATCATCATAACTAAATATATAACACTGGCCTTGTGATTTTGGGATATTTTAATGCAAAAATCTTAGGTATTCCACCTTTAATAACCAAACCTCTCTCTCTCTACAGGATGAAGCACCTGTGGTTATCGCGTGTGGCTTTTAGGCTTCTTTGTTTATATTTATGCATTTGGCAGATGCTTTTATATTGCATTCAACTGGTACACTTTTACATTTAATCATACCTTGCTTTCACCGAGACATCATACGGTACATACAGTAGAAATTAAATTATTATTTTTATCATTCCAGCAACCTGTGCTGTTGGGCTTTGATTATCTCAACCAATAAATCACTCTAACTTCTCTCTTCCTAAATATTTATGGCACATTAATTAAAGCCCAGTTCCCTCTGCAGGCCTCGCGTGCTTGTGTGTGAAAACACACTCAAACACGCGACTCATGTGCAACAGTTGTCATGAGACAGTTCTCCCTAACGGTGCCATTCAAAACAGACATGAAGATGCTCTGGGAAACAACATTCTGCATGTTGATGTGCTTTAATGGTTCAACACATGGTTTTACTCCTCAGCGTCAGACTGTGCAGAAATATATAGACTATGCATCTTTGAAAGCAGAGGTAGACAGACAGGAGTCAAAGGGTTAACCAGCCTAACCCAGTCGGGGTGATCGAAACTGTGTTGCTGGATTAGAGAGATCGTGCAGTCAGGCATCAGCTATCCTTAGTTATGAAGAAAAGAAAAACGTTCATTTTGTTTCTTTCTGTGATTTAATCAAAAATAGTGGAAATGCATGAGCTTCCTCTCCAGGCTCTAGATCCACTCTGAAAGTCACTTTGTGATCATTTAACCGCTTCATTTGAGAAAATATCATCATGACATGAACACACGGAAACTCAAAAGGTCTTCGCGGCAACCCGTCAAAATAAAAGTTCGGTTTAACTTGACAGAAATGTATTACTGTTGTACAGTAGAATATGTCCTAATGTAATAATACACTAATCCAAATAAATTATGCATTTTTTAAACAAAACTGAATTTAAGGAATAATCCATGTTTTAATTTTAACAGTAAAGCTCAATGTGCAGCATGTTATTTTACAAAAGTTTATGATAAATGATAAAAAAATTTGTGTTTTATGGCTTCATTTTATTACCAGCAAAAACACAAGGCAAGGCAAGGCAAGTTTATTTATATTTCACATTTCATACACAGTGGCAATTCAAAGTGCTTTACATGGAAGAAATTAAAATAATCAAAAGAAATCAGAATAATTAAAACAGTTTAGAATAAAAAAAAATCATAATAATAAAAATAAAATACAGTAAATAATTAAAACAATTTAGAATCAAAAATAAAATGAAGTACAGTAACAGTCGGACGAACAGTGGCACAGTGCTCATTCAGTAAATGCAATCAATATAAATAAAAACAGTTAAGAGTAAAAATAAAACACAGACACAGAATTAGTGTGGAATTTCTTTCATATATATATATTTTTTCTTAAATGTTCATAATACATGATTTACATTCATTAGACATGCTTTTTGATTGCATTTACAGTATTTATTCTCCCGAGTCTTTCTGGTAGAAATACTTTTACTCAAGAATAGCTCTCGAGTACTTTTTAAGTAAGTTCGGTGATGTGTTTATTTATACATACATATATATATATATATATATATATATATACACACATATGGTTTTCTTTCTCTCCATATAAATATGTATATATCCGCTCTGGCGAAAACAGTGATGTCATGATCGTCCAGCCAGTGGCGGAACTAGAGTTTTATACATGGGGTGGCCAGGGGGTGGCCACTGCTATTTTTGGGGGTACACACACACACACACACACACACACACACACAGTGGAAGTAATTGGGTCACTCTGTTTGTAATAAGTGTTGAACATCCAAAATATTAGCAGAAAACAAAGCTGAAGCACCAAGGAGATAAGATACAGTAGCATGTGTCTGTTTTGAACTGCTATGTTTATTTACAAAAAAAAAAAAATCACATTTACAAACATTTTTTTAATGGGCTATATGCACGCATAAATTCCGCATTTGATGTAAGGATGCTCGTCCATTTCCGGTTGTGTAGATTAAAGCGGAGGAAAACCGGAGAAAACGGGATTATGGCAGAGTCTTCAATATTTACTGTCCTCCCGTCTTTGAAACGAAACGTACACACGTTTAGATGTAATTTTATATATAGTTATGTTTATTTAATATAATTTTAAAAGGAAGCATAAACACAACGAGGGGTGTCTGTTTTATCTGTTTTTGTGACTAACGTTTCATTAGTATAACCATGGAGTATAAAATTCAATATAAATTCTCGGTATTGCATTGGACTCTATGATCGGCGGAACTTATCGAGCATCCTTAATCCTTCACCGGAAATAACGCCGTGCATAGAGCCCATTAGATACAGCAGTCATCAAGCAGACATCTACTTCAAAATTTAAACAAATTTTAGTGCCCATCAATTAAAACAACACAATTCTGCGGTTCTGATGAAGAAACGGAGAAAAATGCCTTTAAAGTTTTTTTTATACCAGCCAGTCAAATGTTATGTGTAGATTATGTGGTATGCATCTCCGAAACAGGACATAATTTAACCCAGATATTTTTTCACAAGACAGACATGTCATAAAGCCCATTACAAGTCTTAACTCATTTTTGACCAAATATCATATGTAATTTTCGTTACTGTGCTTTGCCTTTGTAGGGCAGTGTGTGCAGGGCTGCCAACTCTCACGCATTGAGTGTGAGACAATTCTCACGCTACACCCCGATTTCTCATGCTAATGTGTCAAGCCGGTCACTAAAATACCTGAAAAGATGAGTTTATCTATAGTTCCACCCGTTGAGCCACTCGTGATCGACTAGTTTTACCGCAAATTAGTTAATTAAAAATATCCTCTAATCTAGAGCGAACGTGCATACGAGACAGATGTTGAGCTCCTAACGGCGCGGACGCAAAGCCAGGACTGGAGCCAAAGCCCGTTCCTCTCTGCACTCTAAGCGTTCTTTATCACTCCGCCTCCATCCACTACGGGTTTTCCAGTCTCACGCACAGGAAAAATGGACGATTTTAAAAGATAATCTTGTTTTATTTTTTATGTAAAAAACTGCTCCGTGTCCGATTTTAAAAGATAAGTTAATCTTATTTTTTCTTTTTATGTATCACAAACGTCTGAATTTATAATACTCAATGTAATGACTTGGAAAGTATTCTAGCACTACACGTTTAATTCATTTTCCAGCTGCCTTTTTGCACCCAGGTAAAAAGAACAATTATACAAATTCTACGAACACTTTTAGTTTGCTAACAAAAATATCGTTGTCATTGAACTAGCTATGCCGTTAACGACCGACTTGCGACCATAGTTGGACAACCTTTCGGGAAACGCACCCAGAACGCATCACGGCATGGTAGCCTACTGTATGCGTATATTAATGTATTCGGAGTAAACAACCCTGATGCTAAAACTTACTTTAAATATGATGTTTCTTCTGTGAAGATGAAGACGTATCCTGACTTGCACCCATCTCTCGTCCTCAGCTGCTCGTCTGTTTGAAAATGCGCGCGTGCTGACGAAAGGTTTTTTTTTTTTAATCAGCATCAGCAACTGCCAATAAAATTTTGGGGTGGCACCCGGGGTGGCCAATCGCATGTCAGGGGTGTCCAGTGCCACCCCGGACCCCCCTCTGGCTCCGCCACTGCGTCCAGCTCAGTTCAGGTCTCATGTAAAGCGTGACCTGTTGACCTCTATCTTTCAGCTCCCGATGATGAGCGGCGCGTTCATGGATGCGTCTCCGGTGGACGACTGCAGCACAGAGCATTCGCTCTTCAACTCGACCGCGAGTGTGAACGCAGCGCCGGCTCCCTCAGCGCCGACACCACAGGAGGAGCAGCGCGTGTCCAGCGACGCCGTCTGGCTCTGGATCGCCATCATCGCCACCATCGGCAACATCGTAGTGGTTGGAGTCGTTTATGCTTTTACCTTCTAGGGATCGATTGGAGACTTTTGGTTTTCTTTCTCTCCACCGTCCAGAGACCTGCAGTCCCACATGCACCTGAGGGACGAAGAGTAGCGGCCTTCGCTATTAACCTGAAACCAGCCTCAAAACTGGAGGGGGAAAAGCCCCATATCGGTAATATCGGTTCATTTATAATGTTATCGTTATCGGTCTGATAAGAAAATTGTGTGTTTGGGACATTGATTTTAAATGGTGAAACTTTTGTTTTGTAATCAGACTCTCAAAAATTACATAAAAACGTGGATTTAGATTTATCGGGAGAATATATATCGGTTATCGGCTTTCAAATATTTTCTTAGAATTATCGGTTATCGGTCAAAATGTTCTTATCAGTGCATCCCTAATAAAAATGCATCCATAAACCAAGATATGTTGGTCTCAAAAAAAATGTCTCTGCATAAGTTACTGTTTTATAAGCAGTATCAAACAAGCAAAAGTGCCGCTTTATCGAATATTAGCACATTTGCAAATGCGATATTGATTTTATACAACAATAATCAAAAAGTTAATAGGCTATCAGATGACTTACATTTAGAAAAATAAAATTGTTATGACACAATACTGTATTATTTTGCCAACGAAAATAGTTTGAAATAGTAGAGGGACGAACACTGAATACTGTTTTTGTTTTCGTTTGTGATTGTAACAATAGTTCTGGTTAAAGAGATAGAATGAGTTTATAAATATAGACTATAAAGAGCGAAATATGAGTTACATTGTAAATATAAAAAAATTGGTCTGTCAAAATGGCTGAAAAACTACATGTATAACTACGAATGTTATACTTAAATATTAGTCATAGGCCTATTTGAATTGTATTATAACTTAAAAGGGGGGGAAATCTTTTCTCCTGAGACCACAAGAGGGCGCAATGAACATTAAATTGTTTATTCAAATGTTTATTCTCCGACTGTTTCTTTGAAACGGACCCTAAAAAATTGCCTGTGGGGACGAATCAAAGAATTGACTTCGGCTGGTCCAATGAATCGTAATTTTTAAACATTAAACAGTGGCATTTCTGTGCAACCAGGGTTATTTTAGTCAACTAAAACTAAAAACATAACACTTTTGTTTATTGAAAATCAGTGTTAAGTGAAAAAACTTATATAATTTCATACAAAAATGACATTTTTAAATAGTTTCCAAAGAAACATTTCTTATTTTCATTTACTTTAACATGAGCATTTTTTTTTACACAACCAAATGTGAAATTTTGAAACAGAAAGACTGAAATAGTATTTTCTAGTAAAAAGTCGACCAAAAATGTGTAACTTTTATTTAATAATTTTTTTTATGGACTAAAGCCTGTCTGTATTCATGGTGTAAAATGAATCAGGCTGGAAATGATAGAAAAACTGTAGAAAGTGCAAGCTCAGCTTGTTGTGTACTTGAGAAAACCATCTTTATTTTTCATAATGAGAGTTAAAGATGCCGTTTCTGTTGTAACCTGAAAAATGCCATTTACTATTAAAATTTTAATAGCTAATATCCTTCATTTTCTCTGTCATCCATTTCCAGAAACGATACACAGATGATTATATCGCTGATGATTTCAGATTCAGCTGGATGAAATATTAACCTGATATCCTCATTATGAGCTCATTTGAATATGATGTTTTTCTTTTTAACAAGCAATCTAGTCATTCATAAGCTCTCGTGTTCCTCAGCTGTCACTCAAATGACATGATATCACTGTCCACATGCATTATAGATCATTTAGATTACATAATTTCCAAACCTCCCAGGATGCATCTGTGCAGACAGCTTGTATGTTAAATGAGTCCTACCAAACTTTACCAATACAGACCGTCAAACTCACTGCAATCCTGAGCAAATCTGGTCAGCAAGTTTCTGTTCATAAAACATCTGCTTGAATAATCTAAAACCCTCTGATGATAATGATGAAAGTGGTTGATCTGCTATATTGCAACATGGTTCCGTGAAACTTTTGCAAGAAATATTACTGAAAAGAGAAACTCTGAATGTGTCCATCATGGTATCTCTAGGTGCATACAGACCGCATGATTCATTAAAGCTGTCAGTTTCATGTGCTGATGCTACAAATTCATCTCAGTCCATCGGGTTTAATTATATCCAGAGAAATAAAGGAAAACCTCACGAAACAAGACATGAAAATAACAGCCAGAACACACATAATCAGCTCATTAGAGGAATGAACATGGCAAACAAAACAACAAACGAGATTATTATGATGTCTTATAATCACCACTTTGGTCGAGCTTTTGAGAGAAACATAAGAGAGGTTGGGGTGTCTTACAATCAATACAAAATATTAAACATTAAAAATGATTAATAATCAGTAACTGTATTAGTGCTCAGACAGAAGATCTATGGACTGTTACTTGGAACACTTGATGTCCTCCAGCAGGTGGCGCTGATGCTTACAGAATTAACTTTCATAACCTAACCTAAAGACTGAATGATTGATACTGATAATGATGATTTAAATGATTGATAAAACTGATAATGGTAAAATCTATTGCAAACAGATTTAATTAAAAAAAAAATAGTAATGTTACTAATAACAGTTTGAAGTAAAAGCACTTCAAGGAACAGTTCATCCAATAAAAAAAAATGAATTAAATATTATTTGTATTATTTTAATATAATTTGTAATTAAATATAATGTCATTATATCTGTATGTCATGTTTTAAACAGAAAACACAACAGAATATGATTAAGGAACAGCATGGCATATAAAATAACTTGTTTCAAACACTTTGCAGTTGCTTTTTTCTTACCAAAAGAGAATGTTGAGTGGCTCTTTCTCATATGAAAGTTAACGGTGATCATGATGTAAAAACACCATAAAAGCATCATAACAGTGGACCATACAAGTCATTCACTACATTTCAAGTCTTCTGAAATCGTATGATTAAAAAGGGTCTATTATTCCCTTTTACAAAGTCTTTTGTTGTTTACGGCTCTACTAGAACAGGTTTTCCTGCATTGTTGCGGCTCCTCTCTTCCCAGTCTGTCAGTAACGCTCTGTTTACTTCCTGTCTCTATGAAGCCCCTCCTTCTGAAAAGCACACTGTGCTCTGATTGGTCGGCTGGATCAGTGTGTTGTGATTGGTCGAGCGCTTCGAGTGTGTTTGGGAAATGTCCCGCCCCTTTCCATAACTGCCAGTTTAACACACTACTAACTAACTCAACCAGGCCCCGCCCCTTTATTCTGCGCATGAATTATTATAATGAGGAATATCGTGACGTGTTCGACTATAATGGAGGCGTTTCAGGAGTTCAGAAACACTGACACTGATATAGAGGAGAACTGGAGCGTTTTCATGCTCAAACAGCAACACACTAAAGACGAGGAACATGGGGAACAGCACGATAGTCTCTGAATAAATAATGACAGAATATTCATTTTCGGCCGAGTTTCCATCATGACATTAGAGAGTGTTTATATTCACTTGCATAACGGTGAGCGAAGCGTGATGAGTGTATCTGTGTAAACTGAAGTGACATTACAACCATTACAAACTCTTCCGGACACGACCATATGCAGATTACCAAATCAGCAGAGGAAAACTGATTACAACAACATCTGATCCGCTCACACACACACACATAGGAGACTCCGTTACTATACGAAGAACTGCCGCCATGGTACATGTCCACAACAACTACACAGGTGTACCACTCAAAAATGGAACTAGGAAGGTTATGCACTTTACATGATATATTTTTATTTAGTTTACTTATAATAATCATGTTTTTTGACTTGAAATGTTTTTTTTTATTATTAAGGTCCATGTAAATATGTCTCAACTTAACAGTACAAAATCCTTATGCGTTGTCTAAACACAAACCATATGTTAAAGGATTAGTTCACTTTTGAAAAAACTTTTGCTGATAATTTACTCACCCCCATGTCATCCAAGATGTCCACGTCTTTCTTTCTTCAGTCGAAAAGAAATGAAGGTTTTTGATGAAAACATTCCAGGATTTTTCTCCATATAATGGACTTCAATGGGGACCAAACGGTTCAAGGTCCAAAAGACAGTTTCAGTGCAAACTGTTCAAATGTCTTTAAACGACACCAGGCGATGAATAAGGGTCTTATCATGCGAAACGATCGGTTATTTCAAAACTTATTCCAAAAATGTAACTTTTCTAAGGACAAATGCTAGCCTTGCTCTATTCTGTGAGGCGCGTTTGTAACGTCACGTAATACGTAATTACGTTCAAAAGGTCACGGGCGACGTAGCCGGTTTTTTGTAAACGGCGTTTGAGTTAGTTTGCACGTTCAACCTATGCGTTCAACTTGTAAACACTGACTCTGTACTTCCGGCTACGTCGCCCGTGACCTTTTGAACGTAATTACGTATTACGTGACGTTACAAACGCGCCTCACAGAATAGAGCAAGGCTAGCATTTGTCCTTAGAAAAGTTACATTTTTGGAATAAGTTTTGAAATAACCGATCGTTTCGCATGATAAGACCCTTATTCATCGTTTTTTCAAAAGTGAACTAATCCTTTAAGTAAAAAAATTCATACATCCAGAGGGTGGCAGTATAGTGCGAAACAACGGCCATTTTGCCCGAACTTAATTTGATTGTGTTCAATCTGCTTAAATATATGTACAACTTAAGTTTACTTAATCCGTTTGTGTTGGATTACATGATTGATTTGTGTTGCACAGAACCTGGGCTGTTAGTTCCCAGCATGCTTTGAATATGGTTGAATTAAGAGAGAATAAATGTTAAAATTAAGTGTTATTTTATCTTTTTTTGAGAAATTTAGAAAAGGCAAAGACTTGATAGTATGTAATTGTGTTTAATGTAAAATTACATTGCAATTATTAGAACCATTTAAATTACATTGGGTTACCATTGTGGAGAAGAGTGGAGCATTTTGTTTGGCTGTCGACTGATTTAATGAATTTCTATTGCATTGGCTGAAGGAGCATGTAATGTAAAACTTAGCATTTAAGATACTAATATGTGCTACTGCTAACAAATTGCTAGCTATAATCTACCTATTAAATTATGTGTCACTAAAATAAATGAAATATTAACGGATTAATGAATATACAAAAATACCTAAATCATGTCAGGAAGGTTTTAAAAATTCACGTTGAGACTACTTAAATTGGGTTGGTTAAAATTACTTTATTTCATGATGTTGAAGTTACATGGACAAAAGTGACCCGAGTGTATTTTA